TGTCAACACAAAATTTTAAGTATTTGCCAAGAGCGAATTTGGATAAAGCAAAATAGGTAGGGCATAAGACACTGTTGTTTTGATACAGCAAAAAAATGTAATGATTTTTTTTAAGTGGCTGGCTATCTTAGTCACTGTCAGACCATCAGCCATTATTCTTCTCATTCAAAACTATTTAGACCAGTTTGAGTAAAAATTTTGTTTTATACATCTTGCCTACTCTAAAATTACTCTTACGTTCAGAAAAAAACTTTTCCTGGAAGTGTCTGATTGAAAATATTTATCTTTCCATCTCTCCCTTACCCCATCTCCTCCTCTAAGAAAGATTCAAGTCCCACTTTAGTCAACACAAGCTTCAGCATCGACGTTGGACTTCACCCATCTATAAGGAAACTAGAGAAGCATTAACTTCATAATTCTCAGAATAAAAGACAGGAAAATTGACTAACAGAGTCTCGGCTTGCAATGTACCAAGATAACAAACTAAGCAAAGGAAGGACTCCACGCATAGCACTTTACATGCTAACGATGGACAACCCTAGGGAAATACTTGCCGGCATGAAAAAAGATTAAGAAATAATAATAAAGAACATTACATTCAATTGAATCATTCTGCATTACTCACCAAGGAAAAGACTTAATATGTTCTTATTTTAGCCTGGGCTTTTCCTTGGCATCTGTTTTTCTTAATAGAAAGCTCTTCTTTACAATTGCAAATGATACAGCAGACAGAAACAGTTCATAGTGACCTTATCAAGGTTATTTCTTTAATTTTTAATATTTTATTCAACTCTCCAGTTGATTCTCAATCTATGCTGTGTTTTTGTGTTTTTCCTCACCGTGCATTTGAAGATGAACGTAAAAGAAAAGGTATCATCATTTTTCCTCTCTGTGAAGCCCCCTGGAGTCTACAGAAGAGCACCACTGCTTGCTACAGGTACAGATATTTGTACCTGTATTTGTAAGAATCTGAAGTTCTCAAAGTGTTCCTAAAGTAGTTCAGAAACAAGCATAATGAACAGCCTAATTAACATTTTCCTTGCAGAATTAGTAAAGTGCTATAGACTCAATCCTGAAAAACCCCAACTGACAGAAAAATACCTCCTCTTATTCAATCTAGAAAAGAAATCTCTTACAATGCTTTTCTTAAGAGCTTCAAAAGATTGTGTTGGTTTTTACACTCTGCTGTACTTAATAGCAATTAAAATGACTAACCAGTCTCTTATCCTTCAATGACTGATTCTTTGCAGATACCAAACTTTCTTCATCTGTATTCAACATTTTCAGAGGACTCTTCAAGGTGAAGGCAACTGATTGCTTATATCACAGATAGGAACACTTTCATAACTCCAGAGGATAAACAAATCCACTAAAGAAAAATTATAAAAGGAACAATCGGAAATCTAGAAGAGAATGCATCAGTCCCTATTTATTTTCCATGCCTATGATAAAAAATACTAGGGATACACAACCTTACCTTCCATATCATTTTGTCAAGCCCAAATGATATCAATTTCTAAGGACATAAATCCAGCTCCTCCCAGAACTCCAGACAAGCACAAGTCATGCAATTCATCGCAAGCAAGATGTTTCCTCAGGCACTGCCAGAGCACGACTGGGCATCCACCACAGATGCAGTTTTGCACAGGTCTCTTTCCAACGGGAAATATCTCCGTAACTCATCAGTGTAACTGTACACACCTTCAGTCTTACCGTGTGTATAGGAACTGCTGAATCACAGCCTGAACCTCTGATTGATCACCTGAGGCAAGCAATGAGTCAGCCATGGGAGCACAGGTGAAGGCAATTCAGCTGTGCTGCCAAAAGGGATGGAGCCTGGCTGCACCTCTCCTAGACCCATTTAAGAGCTGACTACAGGTGGGGAAAGATCTCTTTCTGGAGATGCCTCCTTTGGAGTTTTCCATCAATCCCAGGGCAAGGGTAAGCCTTCTACCTATTCTTTTTTGGTGTAATAACCTGCTTAGTCAAACTCTCTTGTATATTCACTGATTATACACTATGCCAGTTACAGCTGAGGAAAAGATTATTTCTCCATTTGATTTTTATTTTAAGAATGTGATATATTTGTTTTAAATTCAAGGCACTTCAGGTAAACTAAAGTAGAACTGATGCACAGAGTGCGTTAACACCTTCAGTAAAGTGTTTCAGCATGAAAAAGATAACCAACAGAACCACAAGATCTCTTCAGAAGAAGAGCAGGTGTCTGCCTTAAGGTAAGCCAGTTCTTTTGCTATGCTCTACTAACTGTATTGACGAGCTTTCCATTACTTATGACAGGAGCTTAGACGCTAACTCACATTCACATGTCTACACACAGAAACTGTCTCTTAACCTGGAGCTGAATCCCACACCCTGTTTCCATAGTGCAACAGTTGAGCATAATTTCAAGTTGTGCCCTGCAGAAACTGAATCACTCTCTGGCATCCTCATGCACATCAGATCCTCAGCACATCCCTCCTATACCTTTTCAGGAAATAGCTGGCACAGTACCTTGGGGTGCATCAAACCCAAGCTCCTGCTAAGCAAGTGTAACATCCAAGCCTTGGGGCCTTTGGGGGTACAGTGGCAGTTACTCCTAGTTGCAGTAGCATTACACAAGGGTAAGGATGATTACACACAGGCAATCTGGTTGTGACCCAAATCTGGTCCCTCCTGAATAGACTTGAGCAATCTCTGTCACCGAGTGGTAATTCGGTAGGCCTTCAAAATGATCTAATGCTCAGTAAACATGTTGCCACCTTCTCCACAACGACCTCAACACCTGAGCATTGTGAGAAGTCAGTTTTCTCCTGAATGCTCACGCTACATCTTTCCAGAGTCACCTATCATCACTGTACCCAAGCAGAAGATATGTCAGGACACCTTTTGAGATGATAATCCCTTTGGGCACTTACACTACCATTGGAAAGAAAAGGACTATTCAACTGGGAAACTGGTCAGAACTGCTAGGAGACCAGACCTAGGTCTGCATGACAAATAGCCTCATGTTACTGGGGGAAAGAAAAGGTGACTATACTAAGTTTTAATGGACCTAAGCACCAATGTGTAACAGCTTAAGAAATTGATCATTTTTCATACCCCAAACTTTATAATGAGCAAAGGGCTGCTGTCATGGTCATGAGGTAGCCTGCATGGAGCAATGAATCTCAAATCACCTGGTTCACATTTCATTGCTTTTGGTGCAGTATATAGTCATCCAGCTTGCTCCATCACACCACTCATCATAGCCTCAGATAGGATCCTTGTTGAACTTTCTTGGACTCAGCTGTTACACTGCAGTAATATGACCTTATGAGATATCTAAAAGAAGTTTTCATATGTGAACCATTTTTCTTAATTTCTGCCTTCAGTCTCCAAACAAAGAATAGTTTTTCAGTAATGTAATAAGAGTTATTTACTGGTATTGAAACCACAGGCTTACTGTAAGTTTTACAGCATCCAAAATGCAATGTAATTTTCCTCTTTTTTTTTTTTTTAGCCCATAACAATTCATTGCCATAATCACATCTGAGACACAGCACTGTCTCACTATTTTGTTTTGTATTTTTTAAAAAAACATTGAAAGCCAGACTGTAGAATAGTTACACATTGCTATTTAAACCGTTGTTTAATAGATCAACAACAAGCTTGTAGCTAAAAGTAACTTGCATCTGACTGGCATTTATTTCTCCTTTTCTTTCTTACCGTTTCCTCCACTTTCTCTTTTCCAGCTCATATTCCCCCTGATACACATACACACATTCTCATTAGCTCACATAAGGATACTAAACACCTAAGATCAGAACTTCAGCTCTGTATCTTGACAGCAGCAAGGGACAGATCTTACAGATCTTTCTTTTTTGCCATCATCTTGTTTTTCCTTGTGTAGTAGTTTGAGAAGAAAAGCACGCACACAGAAGAAGAAAAAACCTAACCCCTTTCCCCTGTCCCCAGGAAAAGTCAGAACTCTTTCAATTCCTAGTGAAGCATGCTTGTTGTCTGGGCATGTTATTCTCTCATTAGGACTAAACAGGACTAACTTTATTTACAGTACATGCCTGAAGCCTAATCAAAAGCTCTTTAATATCCATGGGTTCACTCCCACTGCCACTCGTACTGGCTCTGGCTCAAAGCTGTGCTTCTCAAACCAGTTGTGCACAAATCTCACGAACGTTGAACCCAAGCCTGGGCAGATTAGTTCACATTCCTGTGCTCTGAAGATGTCATGGGGCAGCCTGGCTCCTACCTCACATCATGAAATCCTGACCTGTGCTTGTAATTTTTTGTGAATGAAACATCACTAAACTGCTCATTTGCTGTAGGCTTTATTTTGCTCCCTGTGCCTCTTGTTCTAGAGGCAAAGAGGATAAGGAGATCTCTTTATACCACTCACTTTTCATACTGTACCCACATTAAAAGTCTCTGCATCAAGCAAGAAGTGACATCCAAGGATGGTTGTTGGTCTAAGAAGCCTTCTGGCCTGGCAATGTCTGTCCTTGGAATATGATGCAGGAGACTGGCTGATGCTAACCAACTTCATCAACACAGAAGTCAGTGCCAGTCATAAAAGTGATTAGCAACTTAAGCAGAATAATCTGGGCATAGCACCCAACCAACACGACAGAGGGATTTACTCTGAATGACAGTATTTACTTTTGCTTTGCTTTTAATTTACCTTTCTGCTGAGCTAGTAAGTTTTGCTCATGTTGTACAACAGCATCAGAGTAGAAGAACGGATCATTATTTGTTTTACACTAGAAGACATCTTTTGTATATTCATCAATCCAATCTCTTTTAATGTATTGCACATGAGAAGATCCCAAGGAAACTGGGATTTCTGGAAGAGTATAGAGTCTCCCAAAGCAGAGTTACTGACAGAGAATGCTTTCAGTCAATTGGCGTATAATCAATGGATATCAAGATGTTATAATTATGAAATAAACACGAGACTTTGGCTAAGCAGGTTATGATAACAAAAAGAGAATAGATAGAATGCTTACCTACATCCTGGGCTCGCTGCAAGACTCCAGAGGAGGGATCTCCAGAAAAGATCCTTCCCCACCTGTAGTCAGCTCTTAAATGGGTCTAGGAGAGGTGCAGCCAGGCTCCACCCCTTCCAGCAGCACAGGAGAATTGCCCTCACCTGTGCTCCCATGGCTGACTCATTGCTCGCCTCAGGTGATCAGAGGTTCAGGCCGTGACTCAGCAGTTCCCATACAGTTGGTAACAAATTTTAGACTTTCTTTACTCAAGCCATTTATTTCAGCTTCTTTTCTCCCTTTTCATCTTACTCCTTCTCCCAGTTTCACGAAGTTCCCATCTCACAGTTGCAGCAAACACTAAGCCAATTGACTGAATGACTGCATAAGAAGAAAGAAGAGAATGTCCATGGAAGGTTGATATGAGGGAGAAGGGATTCTGGCAGAAAAAAAGAAGAAAGTAATAGGAACTTTTAAATGTAATTCTAAATAATTACATTTATTGTCTATAAAATATTCTTTCAAATGTTTTAATAAATCTGCATAACGTAATCAAGCAAACTAAATTTAAACTAACTGCAGCCAGTCATATTTTAGCAATTTATATGGTACGTACATATAAGAGTAAATTTGCATTCACCATACTCAGATTTTCCAGAAGTGTCTCTGTTTGGACTCTAAACCTGCTATATTTGGATTACAAGCTTCCAATTATCCTTCAGTTCTACATAGTAGAATGTAAAGTCCCCTTACGATCCTTGCTTTTTCCACCACCTAACGTGTTAGAGAGCATTCTACATTTTCTTGAAAGCTATTGCCTTTCTTCAGCTGTCAATCTAAATTTAGGAGAGGCTGGGATACTGATGACCTCTACTCTTATTCACCCACAATTAGTTAATTCCACAGTCGCTCTGAGGGCTCTTTCACCAACTTATTTGTCTTTATGTCACTGTATTATACACTCCGAATGAACTGTTGTCTCCTTGACTACACAGGTCCCATTTGGAAGAACAGACCTATCAGACCTTTTATCATCAACATTATTCAATCTCGAGACAGACAATCTGGCTATTAGGAAGAGGCCTTACAACACTGAAGCTCGTAACATGTGAGCAGAGGTCAGTTTTGAGATGGTTCAGATTTTGTTCCAACCAGTTCTCTCTTTCCTCAGAGCATAAAACCAGAATTTGGCACCATAATGCTTAAACAACGGGGACAAAGATTTTGTTTTATCTATTGCTGTGGTTACATCATAATAGTTATAGTGGGTGTGGGGGAAAAATAAAATAAAGCAAAACAAAACAAAATCAAAATAGAAGCCTGTTCTCTATAACATACAAGGTCTTCTTATTTCCTTCCTCTTCTCAACTTAAGCAAAGAAAAAAATCACTGCAATCCTTCTTTTCTCTGATTTTCAAGCTAAGGGACAGCACTTTTAATTTTTTCCTTATGATGAGTCAGCCTGACAGCTTTAGTTACTGTTCAGTGTTGGTGGCAAAGCCTAGCCACCTCCATAGAGCAGCTGGGGGCAGAGATACCTACTTCAAAGTCTCAGCCCTTTCCTGTCCTGAATTAATCAACATCAGGAGTTTTACCTTAGCCCACACATAGTGTGTCACATAACTCCTACAATCACTGCATGTGTTGCCGAAGGAGCTACACAACAGCTTTTGTAAACTGCCTTCCTCGTGCAGCATACGGAGAGTGCATTGGACAGGACAGGACGGGCAGATTCACTGCCAACTCAGCCTTTCCTGCAAGGAAAGGACACCAGGGAAAGCTGAAAGAGCAAACAGAGAGAGAAAACGAGTCTTTCCTTTCTGAATTGGACTTTCTTCCTTGAGGACTCGGTCTTCCAGTACGTGCAGGATTTAAGAACTTTTCACCATAACAAAATTTTCGCCGAGACAAGAAAGTCAGAGAGCAGAGAAGTTGTCAAAGGGGAAAAAGTGGAAATTATATTCAAGATGAGACACACAAATGTCACGGAGAAAGCACATAGCTTTAACATTACAGCTTACAAACGGTCAAATATCCAAATTTGGTTCCCCATGAGTCATTTTCAGTGGTTTGGTAATGTAAAGCTGCCACAATGCACCAATTACTTGACTATTAACTTCTAGCAAGAACTTTTACCACTCCCAAAACTCTGACTAGTTCATTAGGGCAAGAAATACATATTTTAAGTTCTGGATGTACTGTTATGTTACCATCTATAAAGCACATACCAAACAGCACAGCAGATAATATTCATAAAATTAACACAAATAGAGCTTACAAACAACTGAGTCCAATGCCCAGAAAGTCTAGGAATCTGATTCTCTATGGAACAGAGGGGAGAGCTCCCATTTCCTTATGGATGAAAACACAGTAACGGGAAAGTCATCATTTTGTATTTACTGTACTGATATTTTAGTGAATTTGCCATGTTTCCTGGTTAGCTGAGAAATAATTTTTAGAACACCTACATCACACAATCCTTCTCTCCTAGGAACGATTCTAGATCCTGAATGAATTCAAATGTATGTTTTATTTACAGGACATATAAGCAGTAAAATTAATTACATTAACCCTTCATTTCCAAAGCCAACTGAAGCCAGTGGAGTCTTTGAGCCCATACCAACAACCTCTGCTGTTCTTTCCCTTGGGGTTCCCAGCCCGATAGAAGGTTATATGCTGTCCTCCATAGGTCCTTCAGGGATCCCTGTATTCACCAGATGCTCCCATCTTTATCACGTAGCAAGAGAAAAAAATTAAATAGTGTTGAGTGTAGTAACATAAGAATAGAAATGTTACTTCAGAACCAAAAAAAAAAAAAAAGAATTGTTTCAGCAGTAGGAGCAGAGAAGACTCTTGAAAGTAGAAAGTCTTAAAGTACTGCCCAGTTGGGAAAACCCCAAACACTGAGCCTTTCTGCTGAAGCAGTCGTCATTGCAAGCACCAAGTACATGCCCACACTAGCCACTTGAAGCTGCAGTATCAAATATGTACATCTGAATTAACCTTCATCCATATGGAGCAGAGGCGCAGGAGCCCAACAGCAGCTGATTCTGCCTAATGCTCCATTCCAGAGTTTGCAAAAAGACCACTCATATCTCTCTCCAAAGTGGCCAGCAGACAAAGTAGGAGTTGCCTCCAACCTGCTGTCCCTAGTCCCGCTGGCTGCTTGAAGGGCACCATCCAAGATACAACAGATTCTGCTGATTACAAAGGCTTATGGCAGGGAGGACACAAATTGTTCCTTGTTAAGTGGGTGCTTTTAACTAAAGGGCTGCTGAGAAATAGCATTTGGGTGTACTTTTATTTGGCTCCTGCACCCGGGCTTCCTGTGAAAGTCCCCACAGTTGAAGACTCTCAAACTTTGAATCTGTAGCCAGTGTGAAACTCAAGCACATGTTTTAAAGGCACAACAGACAATATGAGAGGTCTGTAGTATCACACATGTACGAGCTGCACCTCCAAATACAAATCAACACACAAATGTCTTGTACCACCCCTGCTAATTAAAGCATCTCAGTACCTTGTTATCCTCAACAAGAGAAACATTCATGTAATGCTCCCACATGCCATCACTGAGTGGCAAGGACAAACACAGAGAGATTAAGGACAAAAGCCAAAGTCAGGGTGGAGAGGAAATTTCTCCACATAACATAACAACCTTGCTTCGAAGGAACAAGTGATGATGCCTGCCTTCAGAGGAAGCTCCTGACTGTGGAGTAGAAGCACATCACAGCACCTCCCAGCATCCAAAAAGGAAGGAATGGGGCAGAAGGCTGGCCCTGCTCCATCCCACACCCTACCACCAGGTGCAGGTCTTCCCCTGGGCTCAGGGGGCAGAAGGAAGAGGGAATTAACTCCTTTTGGAAGGGCCAGGCTCTTCCCACATGCTGGACTGGGAGCAATGGATTTTAATATACCCTTCTGGACTTCTGCCAAAAGTTAAGCTTTTCAGCATCTCACTTTCAGACACTTAGGTAGTGTTTGGATCTATCTTTACAAGTTTTGCCAAAGATTGCATAGGAAGGCTGCAATAGTCCAAGGTCTTGAACTTCTGGTCTCCTGTAGTCTATATTAAAGTGTTAATTGCTATGTCGTGATTCTTCCACTCCAGCAGGTTCTCTTTAACAATTACAGTCACCAAAAGACAGAGGGTCATGTCCCATTGTAAAAGACAGAACCAGTCTTATAGCCCAAACTGAACACAAAGCAAACACTGACATTAGCCTGCCAGCAAGCTTGCGACAAAGAATTATTCACAAAATGGCAATCAGCCCAAACTGGCAAACGCATTTGAAAACAGAAGCTATAATTACAGAAACCTTTGGTTTGGGATAACTAGCTAAATACTGGTCTCTTCTTAGAGCGGGGTACTTTCCAGCAGCAGCATTTGACCTAAACAACAACTACAGAACACGGAAAAGTTGCGGCCTCTTCCCGCTCTTACCTTTCCACTTCAGCCCTCGTCCCGCGCCTCTGGGCCGGGCAGCGGGGCACGTCTGCATGGCTCTATACACACATTGCCATCCTGTGGCCGGATTCTGCCAGCACAAGTGGCTGCGAGAAGGCTGCAGAACGAGGGCCGGCGAACGGAGCGCTGCTTTTTCATGACGCAGACAAAATAGGGCTTTGTAATGGCCGTGGGCTCGAGCTGGAGAATGCAAATCCAACCGTGTTTTTGAAGCTTTGCAGCTCGCGGGCTGTTAGATCAGTGATCCAGCCGACTGCTGAAAAATATTTGTACAGTACTGAGATGCAGGTAAGGAAAAAAGAAACGTGAGGAGGAGGCGAAGGGAACATCAGGCTTTGAAATCTTCGGGAAAAACACAAATGGCCGCCACTGATTTGAGCCCTACACAGGGCATCAAGGAGCAGCAATCGAGCCGGGAAGTGTGAGCACAAAGGAAAAGCCTCGACAGGATAGATGAGCCAAAGCCCTCTGGAAAACGTGACCCCTGTACCAGGAGGCAGTGGGGAGGAGGGCAGGGCACGATGAGGGTGAGTGACAGGAGAAAGAAAGCAGAGGCTGGGCAGGAGCCTGAGGGCTGCTGGCACGTTTCAGAAAGTTGCCCTGGGTGTTACATCCAGCCCTCCATGGCCGCAGAGAGGGCTGTGCAAATCTAGCAAGGCTGTGTTTTGGCTGCCTACCTCTTTTGGCCTCACAGAAGGGGCAATATTCCCTCTGCAACTGCTTAGGAGGGCAAAAGGAAAATGTTGATTAGCACTTAGAAGAGGAAGTGGCTTATTTTGCCTGATTACAATCATGGGAACTTTGTTCCCTCTGCTCCAGTAACCACATTGGTAGCATTAACTGGAAAGCTAAGTAACTGGTAAAGAAACCACTGAATCAAATGTAATCTCATACTGCTTGCATAATTTTCCTTGAATGGACATACAAGGAACCTTCACTTTCCTACATTAGGCTCCCTCCTTCCCCCCACAAAAACCATTTGTCATCATCTTATTGGGTCACAATCTGCCTCTTTTTCCTATGGAGGACTGTCAGGAGGTTGCACAGGTTTGCACAAGAGTGCTTGAGAGCTCAGGCTGGGCCATTGGTGTCCAGTGGCTCAGCCTAATGCCATTATAGTTAGCTGAACTAGTGAATTATGTCTTGAGAATCTTTTCCAGGCAAAGGCTTTTGTGTGTGTGTTTGAAACAAAAATTTACAGTATCTTAGACATTAATTTCCATTCAGGGTCACACAGACCATAAGCAATAATGAAATGTTATTTTCATAATTGATGTGATTTTATTATTAAATGCTGGAAAGCCAAAGTGAGATTTTCTTTAGTTCTGTTTAATTAACAGCTTAAGTCAATTTACTTCTCAATTAATAGGTACTCATCTCAGCATGGGATGGATATCCTTCAACACGGGCAGCTAGAGCTTTTCCAGGCCAGGCTTACATGCCAGTGCAGAGCAGCCAAAGAAGGAGCTCATACTTTATATTTCATTATGTTGATGCATTTTGGCTGTGCTGCCTCCCTCCTCAATCATGTTCCACATCCCTGGGCTGACGCATGCTCTCTGTAGTGCCCTGACTCTGTGTCTCTTCTGGGACACAGGGGACATCCAGTAAGGGCATTACCACATATTCTGAGATCTGTCTGTTTTTCAAATTATTAATTGGAAATTAGGTTCAGATATTTGCTGGAAATCAGGCCCCCCTGATGTGAAACCAAAACGAAAGCCAACAGAATGACCAAATTTCCCTGGATTTCCCCTTCGCAGTAGACCATTGCTGCTGTCCTGCAAGAATGCAAAGAAGATTTCCTTTCCCCTGTTGCCCTGAAAGCCAACACAAGAAGAAAAAGGCAGCAGTTTGGCAGCGTTAAAAAACAAGGAAATCTTAGTGTAATTTTGAAGCCCTGTCTTGCATAGTAAAGACTACTGATGCTTATTAGAAGACCATGTGGGAAAGTGATTTTGTTTGGAAGATGCAGATAGAAAAGAATAATTAAAAGGTAACAGAAGATTGATCTATTTAGTGCTGAAACAGACACCCTTGGCTTAGGAGCACCAAATAAAATTAGCCTGAAAAATATCCACGTAATCCTCCCATCTTCTCTTTCTCTTTAGATAAGAGCAGGGCAGAATATTCCAGGGATTTAAGGCATCATTTGTTTACGTGCTCATATTTTAATCATTTCCAAGAAGCTAAGGTTACACAACCCCAGCGTTCAAGCGATCCCCTACCTTGCTGTTTATAAGAAATGGGCCTGATATTCATAACGTTCCCGGGTTGCTTCAAGGGGACAGGAGGAGAGAGCAGGGGAGGGAGGCAGGAGGAGGAGGGAGGTGAGGAGAGAAAGGTCAGCTCGCTTTTTAAGCAGCTCTGAGCTTGCTGGAAGCTTTCAGCGTGTGGGTGGTAGGTGTATCGGCTGACACAGGGAAGTGTAAGCGTGAAGCTGGCCACCCAAGACCTCGAGGTCACTGCTGACACTCCAGATCTCCGCACTGGGGAAGGCACCTGCTCCCTTGCCAAAACAAACCATCTCCCACTATGGGCATACTTGAAAAGACCTGCTTTTGTCAGCCGGGGGGAAGAGGGAAGGGGGAGGGGGAAGGGGGAAGGAATTAGAGGGATGCGGGGGCTTTTGGTTTTACTTAAACAGTCTCAAATAACCAGTTTACAATGCAGCGATGTTCTTCAGAATTTATTAAAGGGGGGAAAAAAAAGAAGCCGAGGAGTCTCGACTCCAGATCTGGTGAGCATTAATATGCATCGTGCTAGAATTTCATGAGGCAAGCGAGTTTCGTAGCCCTTGCTCTGGTGGTCCTCTGCTGACAGGATCTCAAGCCGCTATTTGTTATCTTTAGGCTTGATAAGTACATCTGGTTTTGATTCAGGTGGCCGCGAGCTTGTCTCAGAGTTGAAAAGGGTGCTTTGCTCAAATTGAATTTTCTCACAAATTTCAAACCGGGATGAGAACCAGAAGAAGCTGGGCCCTGTCACACAAAACTCCCGTTTTGCTTGCTCGGCCCTTGGGCTCATAAAAACCTGGCACAAATCAGTTTCACCTGTTTGGCTAAGTGAGTACATGCTAAAAGTAATAAAGCTATTAGTGCAATCAGATATTTCTCCACATGTGTTCTGATGTAAAAATTAAAAACAAAAAAAAAGGAAAAAAAAGTAAGAGGGGAGGTGAACTCTTCTCAACCCTGCCTGTCACATATCTTCCCGTGTCCCTGTAAATCAGTTGCAGAGAGGCTGCAACTGGTTCTTCAATGTCTTTACACTGGGCATTGGGCTGGCAAGAAGACCTGGCTGCAGCGAGCTGCCAGAATGTGTCCCCCTCCTCAGAAAGGCAATGTAAGTTTCTGCCTGAGGTGAAGAGAAGAAGGATCTGAACACCTTCCTGTGTGACGTGCTGTAGGGAACCTGCTGTAGCAGGGGGTTGGACTCGATGAGCTCCAGAGGTCCCTTCAAACTACTGCAATTCTGTGATTCTGTGACTTTTGTCAATCACCATCTCGTTCTTACAGGTTGTCTTTGAAGTAACACCAGACTTAAACTATATTTAGAAAGGAAAGCCCCACCTGGCCTTTTGCAGAGAGCTGTTGTGGATTCCTGAGCTCTCCTGACTCCACAGCCAGGCTGGACAGGGTGACTTGCTCCTGGGGTGCTGTGAAGTTTGAAACACAGTTTTCTGACACTATTTCCTGAAACAGTGAATTATTATATCCTCACAGCCCCAAGTTTCATTGCTTAGGAGAAAGACTCATGGGGAAGCTTAGAGATGAAAGAATTTGAGAGGTTTCTGGCCCCAAATGACAGCCAGTGACATCTCCCATTAAATCCACTGTAGCAATATATATTACTACTCATAAATGGGTGGCATTGCAGCAGTGAGTGGTTTCTGCTCATGCAAGATCCTCTGTCAGACACTCTGGAAATCTGCTGGATGGGAGATTCCATAGCAGCGTTCTCTGCAGATTTTCATCCTGTCATTCTTTCATGCTTTTCTTGAGGAGTCTTCAGGATGAAACACTGAACGTTTTTGTTTGATACAGCATGTTTTTTTCACATCCCATTTTCCCATTTCATTATGCTTCACTTTGTCATGCATTTTTCCTTGCAGTGGCTTCTTATGTCCCCTTTTGAAAGAAGATTCATCTGCCATGGAGATTAAGAAATTATATTTGTGATATATATTTGTCATGCCATCTGAATGTAGATATGCTCACCTTAACGGAATGAATAAAACAAATCTCTTCAAATAATAATAATCCTCACAAAGATTCTGCAAAATAATGTCAAAGCAACTCTGTAACCTAAATCCGACTGAAGGAATAAGAAGAATGATACTGTTGGCATTTTTTGTGAGTATTTCTACATATTTTCCAAAACTAAATTGCTATAAAAATACGAACCATCTGTATAGCTACTTGCAAAGAAGGGTATCACCCTGGAGGAAAAAAGTTACCAAGTTTCCATTAGGATATGTTTTAGATGTTAACATATTAAAAAAAAATTGACCAGCCATACCACTTCCCTCTCCCAAACCTATAGAGAAGGAAAATGCTGCTTTCTTATATGTGAGGTGGAGAAAGTGCAACGAGCCATGTGACACTCACTTGCACCAATATTTAATGGTCAATATTTAACACACACAGTTCGTGTACTCTTTGGGGTTTGCAAGGAAGGTACCCTGATTCTGTGCTCTGTCTGTCTGCATATCCAATGTTAGAGAAGAATTTGGCTTTTAGTCATCTCTGTTTACAGTGCTGTTTAGTGAAGATATCACACCTTGCTCTTGCAGGTGGAGTTGCATGGAGTGAGTGTTTCTGCACAGCATGTAAAACGGCCTAGTGACCGTAATGACATAAGTGAGCTCTGAGCAATAAGAGATTTGAAGGACGCTGAGAGAACCACCAGCTGTAAATCCAGGAGCCAGAACTGGACTGTTTCTGCCCATCAAAACCAATCCTGTCTGGAGACAGTTAATGGGAGTGCCACATTCTGAGGCAGGTGAATGGAGGCGGAAAACCAGAGAGTATCTGGATAGCCTTTTCAGCTGGTTCCGTGCCCTTGGTTCTGGAACAAGTGCTTGAACATCTGAGGGACCGCTTCCTCAGAGTAAGGCACCATTCACAATAATGACAAAAGACATAACAGCAGCCTTTGTGACTGGGTGATATAAAATTTATCACTGATTTCTGCACTCGCTGTCCTGAATATCTCTGCCCCATTGTTCCTCAGGCTGCTGGACCTACTTTCCCAAACTCTAAACAAACATAACTTATCTTCCATCCAATTCTGATGTCCTCTCTTGCACCCGAACTGCAGAAATTCTTCTCATTCTTGCATTGTTTCTCGAAGCTCCAAATCACAGCAAAGAATGGGAACAATCAAAAAAGAAAACACGCTTTATTTCTACTAGTGAGATGCTTTCCTCCACCTGCACTGGCCTTATTAAGGAGGCTGTGAGAATACAGGGCCCTCTCTATGCCGTGCACATCGTGAGGCCCTTTCTAAGTGGACACAGTTAATACATGAGCTGCAAAGCAAAAGTAATTAAAGTTCACTTTCAGATTAATATCTGCAGTGTTTCATGGCTCCATGTGACTTTTAGCGAAAAGAAGTATCAAAGGGAAGGCCATAGAGCTTCACAGACTTTTGTCTTCTAAGTCACAGCACAAAACCTTCTCAATTGAAGAGCAAAAGAGGAATTATCAAAGCATCGTTCACTTTGGGCAGGTAGAGAAGACGAGCAAAGAGCAAAGCCCTGGAAACAAGACAATGGCCCTTTCCCCCACAGCAGCAGAGCAGTATGGAGTGACTCTCTTAGCCTTTGTGCTGCAGCTGACACAACTCCATCAGGCATGGTTGGTTGTCTGGCCTCTCTCTGAACCCACCCCAATACTCACACACAGTTCAAAACAATTTCTCGTAACTTCTTTCCATTCTTTGTGCAGTAGCATAAAATGATAGAATTCACTTAAAACCCCAAATCTCAGTACTTCTTTGTTTTTTCAGTAGCCTACTTTACAATGATGTATGCTTTCCCTTTTAACTTTCTCATCTTTCTTTCCACCAAACATTTTCCAACAGCCACAGTCTAACAATAAAAGCAAAATATTTAAAGTGCCAAGAAAGAAAGATTGGATTTAAACTGGTTGTAATAGATCACAGCCACAGAAAATGCACAGAAGCAGCAAGAATGCCAAAACTTCAGAAGAAGCACATTTAACAACTGTAGGAGTTAAGCAAAACAAGTTGGAATGAATTTTTTCCAAGAGATATTGCTTCTAGGTTTTCTCTCTGCAAAATCTTGTGCTGTTTGACTTTGGCTCTTTATATATTGCAGGATTCTTATCTGAAATTCAGTTCATTCGTAACTATGAATGCAATATTTTTAGTTTAATGAAATTGAAAACAGGTAAAGAGAAAAAGTATTTCATTAAAAGAATTTCATATGTCACAAAGATGTTGGAAATGGCAGGATATGGGACAAGAGTAGAAAAAAGGCAAATATAGTTACATATTCCATTGAGAGGTACATGTAGTGAGTAGCATTATACTGTTGGCTAATAATAGTTTTAATTCCAGGAAGTCCTTGGAAATTTTATTTCATTTTTTTCCCCAAAAAAAATATACAGCAGTTTTTTTTCCTCATCTTTGAAAGGGAACTTTAAAGTTAAATACAAGCATAATTACATCTTGAAGTAAGATTTCTAGTGAGTTATAAGGATGCAAAGTAAATCATGAATACTTTTGGGAAGTCATCCATTTGTAAAATACTAGATATCCAGCAAATTAGAATGAAATTAATCTCTGTTTGCCCTGCATCTCTTTCTGTAGCAAAAGGGCAATGGCTAATTTAATATTTGTAAGTTAGAACACAGGCAAATTCCAAAATTTTGTGACAGAATATAATCTACTGAGTACTTAATTACTACAGATTTTATGTTCTGTAAAATGTAAAATAATTGGATTTCAAAAAGTAGTTTATTTCTTTAAGTATGGATATATTTAGGTACAACCTTGTGGTCAGGAATTTCAGGATCCATCTTTTAGATTATTTCATTTTCCGTGTGTCTTTTCTCAGCCCACGAATAACCCATATACAGATTGTGATTCAGTGTGGATTTTGTTTGCTGATTACATTGAAAATATCATCCTATCAGTTCTGGAGACCTTTGTTATTTTGCCTTTGCCTCAAAAACAGTTGGTCTTCATGAATGTTTGATCTTTTCCACTGGCTTGAATGAGTTATGCCAGAGACATAACTGAGCAGCAACTTTAGTCTCCCTAGTTAGTTATGTGAGTATATATGCATAAACAATAGAGCTCTGTAGAGCTGTGAGAAACAATTCTGCAGACTAGCCAAGAGTTGGTTGACTATGAATAAATTAAACTGCACTAGGTTAAGTTGCGGTACTGAGCTATTTCTATTTTACAGGAAAGCAGAGAGCCTCATTACAACTAATTAAGACATGCAGATGGGAGTGAAATTAAAGAATCCCAAACACCTACAGTCTTTGAGAAAGACGTGGAAAAATGGGCAACGGGTTGATGAAATGTGCTCAGTTGATAATTTCTACCGACACTTCAGTCGTATTTCTTCTGGGTGCTTTGAGGTATTTTATTACCCATTTCTTTGCATGCCCTATCTTCTACCTGTGCTGAAGTTTTCCATGAAGGGAACCAAAGTTATAGACTTTCTCTTTGACCGTTCCCAGCTTACCTACCTGGATATTTGGCAAGAGATATCTTTCCACTCGCAGAGATATGAACCCATCAGAAAAGCCGTCAAGCAAGATGTAGATATTCACGCTTTAAGCCACACCTGGAAGTTTCATTAGTTAGCTTTGTATCTCTGCTTTGTGAAGGGCTGGCAGAACTGTTGCAGCTAGGGAGAAAACAGTCCCTGTATATTCCCTATCTCATATGCAGAGATAGCTGATGTTCATGTGAGCAAGCCACTGTACTGCTGCAATTTCTGGTCAAAATACTACAAAAATTATGCATAGGTAGACCTATAACCAAGGTACCTAATTTGAAGCACTAAAAAGCCCTTACTCTTAGTGGCAGTTGTGGCCCGAGTATGCTTACAGACATGGCATTTGCAGAGCTAAGGTTGTGAATATGGATATTAAGAAGGTATGGAAGATTTTAACTCCAAACCAGTTTCAACCAGATACCCACAAACCAAGTTATTTTCAAGAGGTGTACAAGGACCTGATTATCATTTTGAGGCAGCCGGAAGAGAAGTGGTGGAACAGCATAACTTGCGCATTATAAACTTGTCTGGGTATTTTTTGGCGTTATTGTTAAATTAAAATTATATTAAAATGAAACACTTCACTATTTAGCTTTCTGTCTGCCTGGCAGGTTTTGCTACATAAATCTAGTTGGAGAAAATTGGCCCATTTGACTTGGACATTGGATATGGCATTTCTGCACCATCAAGAAAATGGCTGCACATTTTTTTAATTGTTTCCCTCACATATAATTTTTAAACAGTCTTATAAAAATGTTTTCCTTGTTTCACTCCCCGCTGAATTAAGAATGCACATGAATAGTTGCCAGTTGGCCTATGCAATAGTCATTCCAGCAGACGGCAATGAGAAAGTATGAAGTGTTTTTTGGAAGAACTACCTTTCTTTGCAGAACGTACTAGACTGTGCGTAGCTTGAAAGAGATGCCTTTTATTCCCTGCAGACCACTTCCTTCAGCTCAAGAAGAAAAAAGAATTTCCTAACTGGTGAACACACAGAATAAATGTAAGGAGTCTTCTATGGTCTCTGCAAGTAAACAAACATTTGCTGTTTTGTTGTAATTTAAGTGACACACACTCTCCAAAGATTTTGACTGCATATTAAGATGGACATGTTTTGCCACTGTAGGTATGTATGGTTATTTAATTATCTTCCCACTGCCTCCAAATTCTGCCTTTCAAACAAACATGTGCATCCACACATCCACTGACACATACAGTTTCTCAGCTATGGTTCATAAAGACTAATTTGGGAGGGGAGTTAGGAAGGGGACACTCAGTTTGGAAAGCCACAGTTTCCTGGAAAATGATATCATACCAAAACACGAAATGACATTTAAACGTATGGAAAGTAAGAACAAAGACCAAATTATTTTGTACTTCTAGCCTGTCAGACAAAAGCAGTGTGAAAAGGTGAAAGTGGTGCTTTTACTCTATTACGTTTCCTTTTATTAAAAATAAAAGCAAATCAACTTTCAAAAAAAAAAAAAATAGAAAGAAAAGAAAAGGGGAATAAAAAGGTGAGGTTACTCAGATGGGAAAAAACAAAGGACAAGCATAAGGGAGAGCAGGCAGGATGCATATATGGTGTGACTGAAACATTGGACCAGGCTGCAGGAGCTCCCTGCCCTGCTCCTGCGACCTCTGTCTGGGTGCCTGGGGGCTGCCCAGGGCCCCCAGCACCGAACAATTGCTCGCTTGTTGCAGAGACCGACCGCCCAGCTGGAACAACACTGCCTGCTCCCAGACTGGCCTGGGGAGCTCCTCTGCCGGGCAACTCTGGGCAAACATACAGGAAGCGTGAATAATTGAAGGTTTTAGCATTCAAAAAAAAACCAAAAACCCACCTTCACAACTAATTTTCCACTCTGGTGCTTGCTTGATGTTTCTACTCTTGTGCAGCCCTGAAAGAAATCCGCACCTTCAAACCAAAGCCTGAGCCTGCCTCCAGCAGAAGAGAGGGGACCTCTAATAAGTGCTGGACTAGCTGAATTTCAAGGGTCCCTTCCAACTCAAATGATTTGATGATTCAAATTTGATAATTGATGATAATTTATTTTCAACAGTCCTCCACCACAGAGAAATTTCAGCCTTCTCTGCCCAGGTAGTGAAGATGATTTATTTGGGCGCACATTTGGGAGCTGCAATGCCCACCAGGTATATGTGTCTATCCCTGTGGTGACCACAGTCCCGGGGCATCGCCCTGAGCAAATCCCCAGTGCCCCCAGCCACCACCAAGCAGATGCCAACTATTTATGCCTTCTTCCATTAGTCTCCACACAGCAGTTGCAAGACCACCTAGACAAATGTCAGGGCTATCTCAGAAAGACACCCCTTCTAATGATCTTTTCTCCATTCTGTTTTCAAGGGTTTGGTTTCTTCCACTATGCTCTGGACTGTATCATCTGGCAAGAGCTGGCTCTATCTAGATCTAATTGTTTTCTCAATTAAGCCTAGAGAGAGAGAGATTTTCCCTCTTGGATTACCAAGCTCATTTTAGGAAGGTAATTTAGTGGCTTAATTTAGTTACATTAAAATTAAATTTTACCTTCATTTTTTCTCCCTGTGCTGAGGCGTGTAATGAATAAGTTGCCTCTTGGGAGGAGTAAATTTCTCTCTTGTTTTTCCTAACTGGAGAAGACACTGAGGAAGAAGGAAGGAAGAGGTGAGCTGAAAAAAAAATTAATCCTTTCACATTTGGACCCTAATTCAGAGAATTAAGACTAGGCTAAAAAACCCCACAGGTTAATCCTAACACCCTGACATGTAATCATAAGTAAGATTTTGAATGGAACAAGTTGTGAGGAGTAGAACAGTGAAGGTATCTTTTTATAGTTTTGTAAATGCAGCGCCACATGACCCCATTTATGTTGGGTAGACATGGGCGCAGGCAGCTCATTCCCCTCTTTCCTGACAGCACCTACAATGGGTTAGAGTGAGAGTCAGACCTGGTGGCCTCTTATTGCAGGACACTGGTTAGCTGAATCTGACTACCAGGGAGGTCCATTTCTCCATCATTGAACCATTTCTCCATCATTAAAGTCCCTACCAGTGTAGACATTTCATGGGCAACTGGTTATCATTGTATCACTTCTGCTCGTCCAGACAGGCCTGGCCTTTAGATGTTGCAAGTTAGTGCAACAATGGAATTCCATTGGGATCTGCGCAGCTGGAAGTGTCCAGTCTGCAAATGCTCCTAAGCACCCAAATCTTGTTCTGATTACTGCTGTGATGGATGGTTTTTAATATTACTGAAAAACAGGGTGAGTGTGCAGGGGCCAGGCATCTGGAGGAATGAGGGAAGAGAGCAGAGCACTACAACAACTGCTTCCTCATTAAGGAATGGGATTCTGAAGGGGATGTATACTGTTACAAGTCACTTTTCTGGATCCTCTTCAGGTCCCCTATATTTCTGCTTTCCTCAGATCAGTCCCTTCAGCTGAGGTCAATGCAAACTTTGTCTCACGAGGATGTAAGGAGCGCTGAATAGGGCCTTTTTTTCCTAGATTCAGTTTTACTCTTCAAAACATACAATGACACACATGACAACACAGCTTTGTAAAAAGACAGCGAAGGATTGATGTAGTAAAGAATCTGCTGGAGAATGTCGATTACATTAAGAATTACACTGGGAGTTGAAATACAGTGATAAGTTTCTATTAGTGCTGCTATCAAAGGAACGGGAAGCACCCACGTGGCTGCTATATTGTAAAGCATGCACACATGCACTGCTCTCCAGATTTGTCGTCTTGAAAATGTATGCTTGTTGGGATATGGTGATTTCTTTTGTAACTCCAATGCGTAGGTGATGAACTTTCTTTACACATGCTTTTAAAGCACAAAGACGACTAATCTTTTCTGCCTTACAGACCCACTAGCAATTTTGTCTTCCTCACAAAAATTTGCCTTTTAAACACGTCCCTCAGCACTCACCCACTTACTTCTCTCTCTCCTACATACACAAAATTTTGCTTTCACACCTCATTCCAATCCCTCACTCACGCCTCACACATCGATGAGGAGAAATAATATACACAGCAAAAGAGGCTTTTTCCCAATGTCGAGAGTAAAAAGCATTTTGAAAATCCCCACTAAGGACAAAAATGCACTCTTAACTGACTTCATCTGTTAAATATCCTAGCAGTTTAGAAAGAAATGTGTTTGTTTTTGTTTTTTGTTTTTTACTTCTAAACACAAACTTCATTTCGCATTTGAGTACTAATTAAATTATGGGTGATTTCTTGATCACTTTTCCCAAAAAGGGAAATAATTAGCAATTAAACCTCTCAGTAAATAAACAGTTTCTCTGACTAAGAAAAAGCTGATTGCCTCAAGAAGTCTGTAAGTGTATTCCTTTTTATAATTCTGCTTTCCAGGCTCGCCGGAGGGCCAGCTGTGCTCTGTTGCTAGGCATGCTTCTAGAAGTGACCCCCACACTCACAAAAGTGGGACTGAAAGCTTGATGCCCATTTCAGCCTTCACTGTGCAGGCTGAGCCCCACTTCTGTGGGGTGCCGCGCAGAATAACGCCGGCAGCAGTCCTCCTCTGCAGTAACTCCTCAAAGCAGCCCCAGAGATGACTCCACTCTGTCAGTGCGGCAGGAGAGCCGGCAGTAGCTGATTCAAAGGCCTCTGAAACGCTTTTCAAATATTTTTACAAGAAATTGAGAGATTCGGCCTCGAGAATTCACTGTGCCTTGCAGAGGGCTCATAAATAAACAGCTTTCGGG